GAAGTGCTGCAGACTTTTATTGCAATGAATGCAATTTTCTTTTCCAGAAACCAGATCTGCCTCTTCAGGACCTAGTTTACTAACAGTCTTCCTGGGAATAGTATGCATTGGTGCACTAATGCTGCCCACACTGGGGGAAGTGGAATCCTTGGTGCCTCTCTACCTCCATTTAAGTGTGAATCAAAAGTTAGTAGCTGCTTATGTTTTAGGTAAGTGCTTTGGAAATATTTTTTAACTCAATCTCTACCTGAGCTCAAGGGTAGATCAAAGGAACTTCTATGAAATTCAGTCCTGGCTTGATGAGAAGATGTACTTTCATGTCTTAGGCTACATCTAGACTGCAAGCCTCTTTCGAAAAAGAGCATCTAGACTACAACCAGTATACTTTCGAAAAAGCTAGCCGCTTTTTCGAAAGAGAGCACCCAGGCAGTGTGGATGCTCTTTCAAAAAAGCACAGTTTGCATTACATAGTGCTTGTTTTCAAAAGAGCACTTTAGAAAAAAGGCTTCATTTCTCGTAAAACAAGGTTTTCTGCAGTCGAAAAAACTGCTGTGTTCTTTCGATTTACTTTCAAAATAACGTGGCAGCAGTATAGATGCAGGGGAAGTTTTTTCGAAAAAAGGCCACTTTTTTTGAAAAAACCCTGTAGTTGAGTCACACCCTTAGAGGAAAGGGTTGAGAGTAATTTCATTCTGTTCTATAATTTGGTCGAAATCAGTTGCCTTACGCTGACCAAGCAGTGTAGTGTTAACCAGGCCATAGTATGAAGAACAGTTTTAGTTTTGTCAATGGATGAAGTGCTTATATATGGGAAAGTATTCCTGTAACTGTGTGCCCTGAGTTCTGTATCCTAGACCTCTTAAAACAGACCCTACAAGTTAGAACACTGAATGACTGCAGCAGGCCACCCCCAGCACATTCTCTTTCCATTACTATTCCAACAAGCAGTGAAAAGGCTAGTGCTCTGAGTTAAGCAGGCAGATCTGTGTGCAACAGTACCTCAGCAAGGATGGTAACACATAGATAGAAGTAAACAAATTATAACCGCATCCACTACTAAACAGATTAAAGGTTAGACAACAAAAAGGACAAATCTGGCAGGGATGTTTATTTTTAAACTTGTATGTTATATTACAAACAATCAAGAGCAAAAAGATTTTAAATGTTGGTAGATGACAGTGTCCCTTTAGAATGTATGTGCCAAATTTTATAGGTCTCTTACTTTCGCAGTTAATTTTCTTCTGTTTCTTTTTTCAGCCAATTAACTGATATACTGAGCATGTGAAACACTGCGGTCTCTCCAGTGATTTACACAGCTCCCTACCACATTTTGAGGATTAAAAAAACCTAAACTAAATCCTACACAAGTACATCTATTCAAGTTAGTCTGAGGGAGTCTGAGGATAACATAAAGGAAAAAATCCTCAACTTGGTTTAATCTGTGTCACCAAAACCCAAGTTAAAATATACCGTATTTTCCGGCGTATAAGGCTACTGGGCGTATAAGACGACCCCCTAATATTTTAGCTAAAAGATAGGGTTTCGTCTTATACCCCAGCGCCCCTCCGCCTCCCGGGCTTTGCTCCCGGTGCCTCCGGTCTGCTGGGGACCGTCTCCAGCAGACCAGGGACACCGGGAGCAAAGCCTCTGAGGATGCCGGCAGTGGGACAGCCGCGGGGCGTCTGGGCTTTCCCGCTGCCAGTTTCCCCGAGGCTTTGCAAAGCCGCGGGGGGGCTCGGGCAGCGAGGCAGTCTAGGCGCGCCCGGGCTGCTCCGCTGCCCGAGCCGCTCCGCGTCTTCCTGGTCTGCAGACCAGGGAGACGCGGAGAAAGCCCCGGAGTACACGGGCGGCAGGACCGCGAGGTCCCGCAGTCCGTGTCCTCCGGGGCGAGCCCCGTTCGTAACTGCGGATCCGACATAAGTCGGATCCGCGTAAGTCGGGGACTGCCTGTAGCTGCATTCAGGCTGACAAGCTCTTGTTTAACTAGTTTCAAACTCTGGATGATGTAAAACTCACAATGTCCAGGCAAACTTTCATATGACCTATACCATAATCCGAGTTAATGATCTGTGGACTTCCACTTTAAAAGTGTGCTGAGGCAGAGGCTACCACGAGCATTCCAGTGGAAATACATTATTTGGTTCAGGGAGCAGTACTTTCCTTGAAGGTCTGCGTTTAGCTGCCTTTGGACTCAGTGCTCTCCGCCATCTATCAGTCACTGCTGAACAATTACAGGGTTCACCATGGGGCAGCATTACATGCTTCTGTGCTTGCAGATCTATATTCAATATATAATCTGTTTGAGAAGCTGGGGCAGAGGGAAAATTAGGGTCAAGCAAACCAAGTCAAACAAAATAAATTGCTCAATGTGCCAAACCTGAGTAGGCTCATTTCAGGTTTATGTAGTATCAGCAATTCAGCCTTAAAGGGGGGGAATAGTGACAGAAATGTAGCTGTTAGTCTGGTGTAGCTGAAACAAAAAACAGGACTATGTAAAGACTAACAAGATGGTTTATTAGGTGATGAGCTTTCGAGGGCCAGACCCACTTCCTCAGATCAAATAGTGGAAGAAAATTGTCACAACCATATATACCATTGTAGCACTTTAAAGACTAACAAGATGGTTTATTAGGTGATGAGCTTTCGAGGGCCAGACCCACTTCCTCAGATCAAATAGTGGAAGAAAATTGTCACAACCATATATACCATATATATTATGGTTGTGACAATTTTCTTCCACTATTTGATCTGAGGAAGTGGGTCTGGCCCTCGAAAGCTCATCACCTAATAAACCATCTTGTTAGTCTTTAAAGTGCTACATAGTCCTGTTTTTTGTTAAAGGGGGGAGGGGCAGTTGCATAATTAATGCTAGAGAACTTAAAAAAAGTCAAATTTGACACTTCTTCAGTCTCCTTCATTGCTGATAGGGAAGGCTTTTATGAGTGGAGGTTTACAAGAGCAAACATATTCACTATGGCTCTGCTGCTGGTTACATACACACTGCTGGGTGCTGGGGGAAGCCTGAGGGAACATCCCACACTACATGATTGATGACACATGGCAGGAGACAAGCCGCCCATTGTGACTGTCTGTAAACAAAGGAGCAGTTAAATGCACAGAGTTGAAATCTTTCAGTTACTTAGTTTTGGTGGTGCCAGCAACATTTAGCACCTGAAAGTCTCAACTAAGCAGGGCCTTGTTGGCTAAGTACTGTACATGCAAAGTAAGACGATCCCTGCACAGAATCTAACTAGCAACAGTAGGTAAATTTCCAGACAAATCTGATCCATAATTGTTCACAGAACATGATTGGTTCTAAAGAGCTAACATTTTAAATAAACTTTGATTCTGATTAAGCCACATTTTTGAGTAATTTTTGAATTTAAGTGAAATATGTATAATATAAATTCACTGTGCACATTTATTCACTCATCTTGTTTTCTGACCTGTGACAGGCAACAGCTAGGCCTTGTCTTTGAATGTTTTATTCAGTTAAGCTAAACTATTCTTCGTTTCTTGTCTTTCAGGTCTCATCACTATGGTTATCTTGAGGACATGAGTAATGACTTAATTGGATGTAAAAAATCCCCAACCTTATCTTACTATATATTCACATCATGAATGTGGACTGCCTTTTACTCCCATGTGACACATTAAGATGCTAGAAAAATTATTCAGTGATTTAAAATACTTTCAGAAGTGTAATATATTTTAACTATGTAACTATAAATAATTGACAAGCACTCTTGAGGTGCTTCTGTTACAGCTATGGAATGTTTAGTGACATCTGTGAACTTATTTTGAAGGAACTTTTATAACTACAAAATTTATTAAAGCAACATTTGTTATTTTAAATCCATGTTCACATCAGTGTTTGATCACTATAAAAGCAAACTGTTCATTCTGAAAGATTCATTTGTTTATTCCTTGCTGTAAGTACAGAGGTTACTACGTAACATATTATGTAAAAATACCAGAATGATCAGCATTTTCATAAGGCTTGTCATTTAAGATGAAATTTGAAATTCCATCACTAAAAACTATGAAATAAATACGTTATGTTTAGATGGAAAAGTAATTCATTCTCAATTCCAGACATCATTAACAAGTACAGTAAAACTCCGATGGTCCGGCATCTGAGGGTCCGGCACTCCTGATGGTCCGGCACCATCAGGAACCCGGAAGTGCTCCGGGCAGCCGGACCATTGGAGCTGCTCTGCCCCCAGCTTTCCCTATTCAGCCGCTGCTAAAACTGACCAGCAGCTGAATTGGGGAAGCCGGAGGCAGAGCAGCTGGGGCGCTGCAGGATATGTCCCCTAATTTTGATTTCTACATGTTGCTTCCTCTAGCCCTTAACTTAGAATTCACACAGAACTTGTTTCTTTTCCAGCACGAGACAAAACAGAAGTGTATAAATTCTTCCAAACTCTAAAAATCAAAGCTGAACTTCAATTTCTTGAAAAACAAAAATCAAGTATACTTGAATTATACGTGTATATAGAAGACAATTTCTATGTAGCTATACATACTCAGGTTATTACAAATAGGAAGTGGTGAAGTTAATTTCTGAACTACTTTGAAGTGGGAGTCCTTGACACATGAATTTTCTCTTGCTATATTTGTATGTTACATGTATTTATAAGAGACATTTTTTGCATCAAACTGTAAAACTCATTCTATAGTTAAGACCCCCTACCCCTATATGCCATATACAGTAAACTTCCGATAATCCGGCACCTTTGGGACCCAGGGGATGCCGGATTATCAGATATGCCGGACTATCAGAAGGGGGGGCTATGAGGGGTCTGGGGTGGCATTCCCCTCCACCCCAGACCCCTCATAGCCCCCCCTTCTGATAGTCCGGCATATCTGATAATCCGGCATCCCCTGGGTCCCAAAGGTGCCGGATTATCGGAAGTTTACTGTATATGGCATATAGGGGTAGGGGGTCTTAACTATAGAATGAGTTTTACAGTTTGATGCAAAAAATGTCTCTTATAAATACATGTAACATACAAATATAGCAAGAGAAAATTCATGTGTCAAGGACTCCCACTTCAAAGTAGTTCAGAAATTAACTTCACCACTTCCTATTTGTAATAACCTGAGTATGTATAGCTACATAGAAATTGTCTTCTATATACACGTATAATTCAAGTATACTTGATTTTTGTTTTTCAAGAAATTGAAGTTCAGCTTTGATTTTTAGAGTTTGGAAGAATTTATACACTTCTGTTTTGTCTCGTGCTGGAAAAGAAACAAGTTCTGTGTGTGACATCCAATATAAATATAATCTGTCTATTTTGAAACTAAAGTCAAATGTTCCCTAGATAGGGCTTGTTTTTTTCACAAAAATCTTGCGCTGTTTATTTATGAAAGGCCTATATAGGGTGCCTTGACTGTGTAAAAGAACATTCTGGAAATTAAACCTTTCCCCCTGCACACAATGGGTCACCTCTCTGTTTATGCCTGGGGGCAAGAAAAGATCATCTGGAGATGAAAAGTTATTTAAATGTAATTGCACAAAAGATGGTGAAATTAAAATATGTAGGTTGGAGCTGCTCTGGATGGTAATTTACATAATGAGACTTTAGATGACTTTGTAGGAAGTCAATAACATTACTTTAGCTTAATTTCAAAGGGACAAAGGGCATGTACCATGCTGGAATAAAAAATGTAGGACTGGAAGGGATTGCAGTAGGTCATCTAGTCCAGTCCTTTCTACTGATGCAGGACTATATATCTAGACCAGTGATACTCAGACCTCAGTGGTTCAGGAGCCAAATTACCCAAAAGAGCTACAGTAGCATGAATTAATTGTTTCATTTACTATAGTATTATATTGTTACAGTTAAACATTCTTAACAGGCAGTATTTAGTGTGTTTACATAATTCTCACAACAAAATGACTGACCAAATATTAGTTTATCAACTACAACTGGTTAATAATGAAATCACACTGCTGATATCATGTGCTACAAAGAGTAGCAGGGGACACATTAAAGAGACACTTGTGATTCAAAAGCCTTAGTCTGAGTATCATTGGTCTAGATTGTCTCTAACAGGTGTACGGCTAACCTGTTCTTAATAATTTCCTTGTGCAATTATTCCAGTGTTTAACCACCCTTACAGTTTGGATTTTTTTCCTAATGTCCAACCTAAACCGACCTTGTCCTGTCCTCAATGGATGAGGAATTTTCATCACTTTCCTCTTTATACAATATTTTATATATTTGAAGACTTGTGGCCCCTCTCAGTCTCCCCCAAATGAAACCAACCCGATTTTTCAGTCTTTACTCATAGGTTTTGTTTTCTAGACATTTACTTATTTGTGTTGCTCTTTTCTGTCCCTAAGTGTGCTACTCAGAACTGGACATGGTATTCCTGTCAAAGCCTTGTTACTGCTGAATAGAGTGGAAAAATTAATTCTCATGTCTCGCTCATTCCTGTTAATATAGCCCAGAGTGATCACTTTTTTGCAATAGTATAACATTGACCCATACTTATTTTGCAATCCTCAGTAAATCCTCAGATCCTTTTCTGCAATACTCCTTTCTATACAGTCATTTCCCATTTTGTATTTGTGCATTTTATTATTCCTTCCTAAGTATAGTACTTTGCATTTGTACTTATTGAATTTCAGCCCATTTCATTCAGACCATTTCTTCAGTTTGTCACGATCATCTTGCATTTTAATCCTGGCCTTTGAAGCACTTGCAAGACCCTCTTCATGTAGTCTTCTTCCCTTATTCTACCCATGCAGTATCATTCTTTTCTTACCAAGCAGCTACTTTTTTTATTTTATTATTACCATTATCACCCTTCTTCAGATTCAACATTAAACTATTCGCAAACCACTTTAGCACTTTCTGATTCTTCTCTGTAAGAAAGGGGTAGATGGGGATAAAGGAAATAAATAGTTTCCTACCTCTGTAGCTTGTTCTTCAAAATGTGTTGCTCAAGTCTATTCCAGTCTAGAGCAGCGTTTCTGAAAGTGTACCGCGGAAACACTCTCAGAAACACTTGAACTGTCTGCCCGGCTTTGTTTATGTACCGGTGCCGCGGCCATGGATCCACACGGCTCCCATTGGCTCCGTTTCCTCCTTTGCAGCCAAGGGGAGTCTCAGGAAGCGGCGTGGGCCGGGCCACTGCTTCCTGCGGCTCCCCTTGGCTGCAAAGGACGAAACGGAGCCAATGAGAGCCGTGAGGCTCCGTGGCCATGGCGCCGGTACATAAACTGGAGTGGACAGTTAAAGTGTTTCTGAGGGCGTTTCCACAGTACGCTTTCAGAAACACTGCTCTAGAGCATGGTCACTGGAGACTTTTGGTTTACCAGTATCCACAGGGTGAGCTGTGGTGCCCTCTAGAGTGCAGTGCTCACGGCACCGGCGCCCTCTCAGTTCCTACTTGCCGACAATTCCGACAGAGGGGTATGAGGGTGAGTCGTGGAATGGACATCAGCAACGCTTCTTGAAGATCAGTTATGAAAGGTGGGCAACCGTTTTTTCTTTGAGGGCTTGCTTATTTTAGTTCCAGTCTAGGTGACACACAAGCAGAATCCGCTGATATGGGCTCATTTTACAGCCTTGCAGATTGGAGCACTGCTCTGCCAAAACCAGCCTCATTGCAGGCTTGCTGAGTCAGCGCATAGTGACACACAAATGTGTGAACAGATGTCCAGGTCATAACCCAACACATTTCTTGGATCAGCACTAGAGTGCAGAAGTCTGCCAAGGATGCCAGCGCCCTGAGTGAGCCATCACAGATGCTGGTAAGGGCACCTTTTCCAGTTTGTAGCAGTGGTAAATGCAGGCTGTGATCCAAGATGAGATTTCCTGGGCTGCTGCCAGGCATCCTTTCATCTTGTCAGGAACTGCGTTGATTTATGAAACGGCTTTGTTTTATCCATGTAGGAGGTCTGCACCCATGTGGCATCCAGGGCATGCTACTTGGACTCCTCTCTGTCACTGGCGGCTTTGGACAGGGGATCAGCAAGTAAATGTCTTGGCCAGTGTGGAACGAGGAAATAACCACAGGCAAAAAAGCCAGGTGCAGACACAGTCTGATCTTGTCCTTATAGAAGACCATATCGGATGGCTCCAACATGAATGCCATAATCTCAAACAGCCAAAGTTATGATGACCAAGGAGAGCTTGCAGAAGGGAGAAGGAAGGCAAGGATTCTAAAGGGGTACTGATGAGCTTTGACATCACAAGATTCAGGCCCCTGACATGTGGGTGTACCTTGACCAAAGCCAACGACAAGCCCTGAAGCATTAAGGGCTTGTCAGGTGAGGCGTTTAGGGGTGAATTAGAGCTAAACAGCAGCACAGGACACAGAGCCAGGACTGGTGGCTGTAAACAAACGTTATGGAATCGTGGGAAACTTGGCTGCACCCATTGTAAGCAAGGATGTTAAATTTGGTTAAATAGGTAACTGTAACTGCTGAAAATCTCAGCAGTTACACACTGCAGGCTCTGCAGTATAAAGCTTAAATAAATAAGCTTAAATAAGCTTTATACTGCAGAGTTCCCTGGGAGTAGGGCCACCAGCACCTGCCAGCTCCCCTGCCACAGGAAGCTGCCTCCGTAGGAGCCAAGCTAACAGGTGCTGGTGGCGCCATACCCAGGGAGCGTTGCTCCCGGGGAGCTAGGTTTGTTGTAGCAAAGCCTCCGTGGGTGCGGAGCCAGAGCTCTTGCCCGCTTAGCTCACGGGAAGACAACTTTACTGCTGCAGCGAAGCCGCCTTCCTGGGAGATGGCTAAGTGTAACCGACACCTAACCAATAAACCTCAGCTTATCAGTTAAACAGTTAGTCAGTTACACACTAACATCCCTAATGATA